CTCAAGATTAAGCTTTGTTATTGTTTTTTCTCATGACCACTATTCGGGACGTAAACATTGACGTAAACTGTTGTCTATAATTCTGGCTCGCAGACAGCTCTCACCACATTATCGCCAGTCAAATCAGAGGATGATAAATATTGTTAAAATGTATTTCAATTCACATTATAACATTCTAACAAGTTATGTATTTATTTTATGATAAAAACATCTTATTTCCCATCTGATTGTATTTGATCAATAACACTCATATTATTTCTGAATAACCTTTATCTTATATTGATTTTATTCAAATGTCTAATCGATTTTTACTCTTGTATATAAATGAAGCAAAACAGTTGTGTGGGTAGTGCCTCTATATGATTATGAGTAGCAATAAATTGTGCTCGAAACGGCGTCATCAGTAAATATTACTGTATAACAAACACTGTGTGTGACTGTATCACAATAAAATTGTATCCATAATTGGTGATTCTTCCCCTCAGTGACTTCTATTGCAATCTTAACAGTAATGAAATATTTCAAAAGACAGAGTGTATATTTTTTGATTGCACACTAGTCAATAACTAGTGTAATGTGTCTAGTCCTATCTTCGGTGCAGACTGAAATCTATCAGTCATGTTTGCAATGTGGCCACCATGCTAGGTGGCTCGCCATTACGGTGCACTGTGAATTGTTGGTATTAGATGGTTGGAGGCAATCGGCAGGAAGCCTTGGACCTAGGTTTCGTGCTAGTTGGCACTCATCAGCAAGGCGTATCTGCAACCTTGAAGGAACTGATGTCCCTTCTGAGATTCGAATAGCGAGCCTGAATAGCTCAGTGGTAACGTCTCTGACTGCAGCATTGGGTGACGCGGGTTCGAATCTCAGAAGGGACATCAGTTCCTTCAAGGTTGCAGATACGCCTTGCTGATGAGTGCCAACTAGCACGAAACCTAGGTCCAAGGCTTCCTGCCGATTGCCTCCAACCATCTAATACCAACAAGACAGAGTGTATATTCATCACTAGGATGATAATGTAAACTGCATGGTTTCTTGAAAAAGGGAGTAATAATAATAGGGTGAGTGAGTATATAAGTTATCATTAAAACAGATTTACCTACCTTTCGTTTCCGCCCACTCAAATCGATAGAACGGAGGCAGTTAGTGAAGCTTTAAATTTCCCCAGATAGTTGGTCTTATGTAGTAGAATTTGAAGATTGATGAGCCACTGGATCGGTCTCCAGGGGTTGAATGGTCTACGAGCTTGCCTTGTACCCAGAAGGTCCTGGCTTCGAACCCCGGCATGCTGATGAAGAGTCCCAAACTAGGACGAAACAGCTGTCCAGTACTCCCTGCTGGTTTTCAATGCTTCTCTAACTTAAATCAATCTGGTATCAAACCTAAAATATGTGACTCCATTATGGATAAGATTTTATTTTGATAAATCACACAGTGTTATACATATACCGTCTTTTTAATTATACAGTAATATTAACTGATGACGTTTCGAGCACAAACTATTGTTCATAATCATATCAAGTTACTCACACAATTTTTTTCTTTCATTTATATACATGTGTGGAATCGATTAAATATTTGAATAAAAATCAATATAGGATAATGTACATTCAGAAATAATAATATGAGTGTTATTGATCAATTACAATCAGATGGGAAATAAGACGAGTGTTTTTATAGTCATGATAAATAACTTTTTAGAATGTTGTGATGTGCTTGAATTGAAATAGAATTTTAAGATTATTTATTATCCTCCTCTGAATTGACTGACTGGTGGTAATAATATCTTCCATATCTCTGGTATTTGCATTGAGTCATTTCTATTGAACGTGTTGTGTTGGGTGTAGATTCGATGAACCAGGATTCAGTAATCAACCTCTCTCTCCACCTACATAGATTACTTTTTAGGATTTTAACCCTATCCCACTCTATTGTGTGTTAATGCTTAAAGTGCTATTGCTGAGCTTTTTTCTAAATTACTTATCTTCTCGGGGTTAACCATTCTTACCTTAGCTAAATTCTTATGTTCCAACAATCTGACTACCCCCGACCTACTAGTTTGACCTATGTAGTTGACCTAACTCACAGTCATTGCAAGGTATTTTGTAAATTATATTATTTTGTTTAATTGGGTTCACCAGGTCTTTTAGCCTACAGAGCTTGTCTCTGAGTGAGTTTGTAGGTTTGAATGCCACCCTAATTCTTGTTTTATTGGGAATCCTACGTAGGGTATCAGATGTCCCCTCCTTATTTGGTATAACAGTAGATGACTTACATTCTCTCTTATTTATGTTATCATTATTAGTTTCACAATTATTTTTATTTTGCTTTTGGCCTTTTCTTATCTTCCTAATGAATTTTATAGGATATATTTGAATGAAGGAAAGTTGTTGTGTGAATGTACCTTGATATGATTATGAGCAATAGTTTGTGCTCGAAACTTGGTCATCAGTTAATATTACTGCATAACACTGTGTGCGACTTTATCAAAATAAAATCTTATCCATAATGGAGTTATACTCTTCCACCACAGTGCCCAAGTTCTATACTTATATCTAAAATATGTGACTTTCTATTGTGTTGTAACCATACCAGATGTTACAATATTTGGCTGTTTTAAAGGTATTTCATCGACTTTTTCATACATCTGGAATGTCCATTGGGACGTTTGCTATACTATGCACGAAAATAGCTTGTGATTACTTTTATCCTCACTCCCCCCCTTGAGATTGCTAGTCAGGAAATAGTTAATATGTAAAGGGATACAATAAGACATAAGGCTATGGATCATTAAGTCTAATGATGACCTTAGTACAGGTCAAGGTGGACATAAAAATTGAATGTACTTTTTTCGAGATGCATAGGCTAAACTTCTCCGTATTGATTCCTATAGCTTGAGATATTGAGAAGTAATTGTGTAGCAGTTATCGTAAATTTTTCGATACTCCATACACACATGATTGTAAATAATTTAATTCTGTCATGATGATGGTTTACATGATGGTCCAGTAAATGAGGGTAATACAACACTTGTTTATTGACCTAGTTACACCTTTATCTGCCAGGAACTGCACACTCCATGTAGCACACAAAGGAAGAGAAGAAAGTAGGAGAAATGCATATTAGAGACAGTAAACAGAGGTGTGAGAGAAAAGAATAGTAATAACGAAGAACCAAACAGTTTCATTGGAAATCAAAGATTAGCTGTCTTTGATCATAGGTGTATGCGTTCTATCTCCTATGTGCGTTAAGTGGTATAATTAGGTGAGCAATATTGAGGTTAGGCATCGAGTGCTAGGGAAGGAGGGGAAATCAGTCGACGAAACTGAGATTACATCGATTGAGATGGTTGGGACATGTGTTACGTATGCCTAGTCATCGCCTTCCTCGACGGGCAATGTTAGCTGATATAGGGTCAGGCTGGAAAAGAGCTAGCTAGCGGCGGTCAAACCAAAACATGGCACCAGTCAATGAAATCCACAACAGTTAGTCTAAGCCACGTAGGAAGGTGTAGACTTCCTGGTTGGGGTCCTCGGGACGGTAAAAACCAATGGTTGGAAACAATTGGTGACATGGCTCAAAATCGTTCTCAATGGCTAACGCAGATGCATCCACTCCTTGTGACTTATGATTTCCAATGAAACTGTTTTGTTCTCCGTTATTACTATTCCTTTGTCTCACACCTCTGTTTACTGTCTATATTATGCATTTCTTCTACTTTCTTCTCTTGCTTTGTGTGCGGTTCCTGGCAGATAAAGGTGTAACTAGGTCAATAAACAAGTGTTGTATTACCCTCATTTACTGGACCATCATGTGAACCATCATCATGACAGAATTAAATTATTTACAATCATGTGTGTATGGAGTATCGAAAAATTTACGATAACTGCTACACAATTACTTCTCAATATCTCAAGCTATAGGAATCAATACGGAGAAGTTTAGCCTATGCATCTCGAAAAAAGTACATTCAATTTTTATGTCCACCTTGACCTGTACTAAGGTCATCATTAGACTTAATGATCCATAGCCTTATGTCTTATTGTATCCCTTTACATATTAACTATTTCCTGACTAGCAATCTCAAGGGGGGGAGTGAGGATAAAAGTAATCACAAGCTATTTTCGTGCATAGTATAGCAAACGTCCCAACACCTTTATCTAGGATCAAACTAGTAAATGTTCAGCAGAGCTTAAGTTTAAGATATGACTAATGGCATAAAATACAATAATACAAAAAAATGTGAGAACAAAGTGTTTTGAAGAGTTAAAGGAGTACAGAAACAAAACTAAGGAGTAAAAGTACATAAGATCAGATGATCAAGTTCGAGTTGACTTTATTATAGTAAGTAGGTCAAGGTAAACACACATACATTGATTTTCAAGAGTTTATTTGTAGGGTGATTTGATTTGTTTCAAGTTTTGATCACGGACTAATATACGTTAGAGCAACATTGGAAACTAATAGGTGAGTACTGGACAGTTGTTTCGTCCTAGTGTGGGGCTCATCATCAGTGCGTACCCACCGCCGGGACTCCACCCAAGAATCTTCTGATGCTAGCTAGTGACTGACTGTAGGACGCAGTTGTCTGGTGTTCCAGTGATAAGTCGTGACCAGTGGGCTCCACCCGGTCGGCAGTGAGGATAAGTACTCACCTGGAGGTCACGCTTATATAGCGTGAATTCGCAGAAGTCGGAATTCATGGGCCGACCGTCGGTTTCTGTTCCAGTAGACCAACAGTATACAAATCCGCCTTGTAACCTGAAGGTTACAGATTTAGCCCCTGGTGGGGTCATGAGTGTGTACTACTGAAGAGTCCTAAGAGAGTATGAAACAGCTCTCCAGTACTCCCTGCTTTTCAATGGTTCTATAAATTGAAGACAGTTCGTGACCAGTTTTTCTCATAATCCATACAGTAATCTATGAACAACTGTCTTTTTTTAAGAAGAAAAAAAGAGATACTCATAATAATAATATAAATGGGTCTTGTAATCACTTACACATATGCCTCATGACCAAGACGATCACAATCGATGATATGAATCTGTTCACTTAATTTAGCAAGTCGTTTAGCTAATGATGATTTTCCCGATCCAGCCGGTCCTGTTAATCCAATTATGTAAGGACTAGAAGGACTAGAAGTAATCTGATGATTGTTGTCATTGACAGGTTTCAATAAATCTCCGAGTTGGCTGAATCGAACTTTTGAAGAACTCAACTTATGATCCGACGGATCGAAAGGATAGATATTAGAATCAGGATGCGTACTGTTGGGTAAAGAAAAAGAATAGAAGAAAAAAAAGGAAAAATAAACATCTTACACAAAAAAGTAAAACAGAAATAACATCTAATAGCGTTAAATGAATTCGTGCCACAATAATAAGATAACCAGATGGGTGAAGAAGTAGGTAAGTAGAACCTTATACGTGCAGTAACAAAGAACAGTTCGATATCTTGTCTGTAAACTGTAGATTTCACAAGTTTGATAATGTTAAACTCTTACAACATGCAACCATTTTGAGTGAAGACTTGACACTATCAAAAGATCTTTTTCCCCTAGGTCCCCATATTGATTTTATGGAGGTTAGCCTCTTTGAGATGCCTAAGGAGACTTCATCAATTTACAAATATCCAAAGTAACATCAAATCTCCTTTCGATGATGGCCGTTGTAACACCTTGGAATGGATACAAGACTTATTCGTCATTTTCAATGATGACTGCCTCTACAACTCCGACACAGAACGTTTTATCCTACTATATGACCGTAAAAAGAAAATCAGCAAAACACGCATAGGGTATTTGACTATCGTTACTTTCGTTCGTAGAATCATTTGTGATGATAATCAATAATCAATCATATGGGCGATGTTAACGGGAGGCATACTACAGTTTTAGACAAGAAAGTTAAATCAGTACATAAAATTGTGAATTATAATCGATGTAAGTTTTTTTTTGCAGAACATTATTATTATTATTATTGTATTATTATTGTTCCCTTGGGTTCCTAGTGGAACATAGGGCTTCAACTACACGTCTCCACTTGCTTCTCTCTTCTGCTGTACTTTTCACTTGCATCCATGTTAGTCCATGCCGTTTCAACTCCTCTTCACACGATCTCCTCCATGTCACCATTGGACGTCCCACTCGCCGCTTCCCTTTCGGGTTCCACCCGAGCGTTGGGCTGACGCGCGATGTCACCCAGCGGCTTCCTCAGCGAGTGTCCAATCCATCTCCACTTTCTCCTGCATATCTGTTTAGCGATTGGTTCTTGTTTTGTTTGTTCCCATAGTTTCTTGTTGGTGATTCTTTCCGGCCATCTGATCTTGAGTATAGAGAGAAGAGAGTTGTTCTTATTCTTCTTGATTATAGCTTGATTCCACACCCTATTTTTGGTACAAGTATGGAATTTTTAGCATGTGATATCGGTAGCCCAAATTTTGAAGGCCGACCATTGATATCAGGTATGCGTCGGCAGGGGATCGAACCCCGGACCATGTGCATGGTCGGCGAGAGTCCTAACCGTTGTGCCGCCGACGCAAAGGTCTGCAACCTGTTGGAAATATTCTTTGTGACCCGCCACGTTTCTCATCCGTATAGAAGAACTGACTGACTTGACGTTTGTATTGAAAATCGGAATTTTGTTGTTGAGTGTGGCTGAGTGGCGAAGATTTCCAGATTGGTTTCAGGTTGATGAATGTGTTTCTCGCCTTCCCGATTCTCGATTTGACATCTTCGTCCGTTCCTCCTGTAGTTGAGACAATGCTCCCTAGATCAGTGAAGTGAATGAAGTAACCTCTTTCAAATCCCTCCCGTTGATGGTGATTGGCGCTGGATGTTGCTACTGCTGCTGTTGTTGTTGGTTGGTTATTTTCATAACCTCCGTCTTGTTTATGTTCACCTGGAGTCCTGTCTTTGCTGCTTCTTCGACCAGTTTTTCGGCTTGCAGAATGGTTGATTAGAAACAGAATATCCACCCGACTTCCATCAGATCAAGCTATGTAACAAACATACAATTCAGGTTGTCTACAGTCCAGAAAATATCAGTATCCTTAAGACTGCAATTCACAGATGTTGTCAGTGGAATTGTATCACAACTTCTGAGAAGGACTTTTAACGCAGCTAATTTATGCTGTTTATTCACCAATGAACCAATGCCTAGTTCACGGAATAAGGAGAAACTGCCTTGTTTCGCCTCTTCCATGTATATTTACCAGTTTGACTGCTGCTGTGAAGCTAATTGCATTGACCGTACGATTAGACAAGTTTATCGTTGAATTTCTGAACACTACTTGAGGATTAAGGAAAGTGTTAGGTAGCTAGTTCAACTCATCGATACACGACATTAAGTGAACGCTAATGAAGCTTTTAAAGTTATTTATTGTATTTAACCCCACCTTTCAAATGCTCTACGAGGTTAACTTTCACATACAGCCCAGGCAATCGGAATTCACCCGAACAAGCCAAATATGTGTGTTCAAAAGAAACTCGTGCAGTCCTTACTCTACTGTGGTCGTCCACATAATATGTGTAGAGTCTTACAAATGATTTTTCCTCTACCTTTGTAAATATCATTTGACATTGTTATTTTATTTTGTCATTTTATTATGACTACTACTCTAACTAAATCAGCTGACTTATTTGTATCATTGGCATCCTTACGTAATTCACTTGTCTATTCCTTCTTGTCATCATTATTTGTCAAATTATCGATTATTTAATAACTTGTTGCTTACCTCTAAAAACTGTTTGATATTGCGAGAGAGAGAGAGAAAGAGAAAAAAGCCGTTGATAAGGAACCAATTGAAAAGGACTATTCAAGTATTGGTTTGTAGGGATTTGGTTGATTGGTTACAGGATTTTATCATGAGCTGACATCAGCTAGAGAACCATTGGAAAACCTGGGAGTACTGGACAGCTGTTTCGTCCTAGCTTCGGAATCTTCACCAGTACGCGCCCACCATCAGAGTTTGAACCCAGGACCTTTTGGTTACAAGGCGAGCTAGCTCGTAGACCATTAAGCCACTGAGACCTCGATCCAACGGTCTACGAGCTCGCCTTGTAAACAGAAGGTCCTGGGTTTGAACCCCGGCGGGTGCGTACTGATGAAGAGTCCCAAACTAGGACGAAACAGCTAGCTGTCCAGTACTCCCAGGGTTTCCAATGATTCTCCAACCAATGTCAGCTCATGAAAAGGAACATATTTCTTCGCTCAATTTTTGATTTCTTTAGATATATCCGACTATTCAAGTTACTTTTGAGCTGGTTCTTAGTGTCTATTATATAACATAAACTTTGTATTTAATAAACTAGGTCTTCCTCAGGCTCCATAGTTATCAATCCATGAATATTGTGAAACAAATAGCCATTAAAGGCATGCGGAAATTATATCGGAAACTGTATTCCGGTACATATATGATATGGAGTGATAGTTCGGTATTCAATATTGTCAAATAAACGTATACATTAAAAAAATGTGCAGTCATTCAGACCATAAGATCAAGTGTGAATAGACAAAAGGGTGACATACTAAAATGTAATTATAGTCAACAGAATATAAGTTTCATTGGAGTGGGGTGGGTTTGGGAGTGAGTTATATTCAGTGATGTGAGAGGAAAATGATTACTACAAAATACATACATACAAATAACAGCTGGGCATAGCCGAGGCATTAGCCATCCAAAAACTCAAACCCACGCTATGTGTCCAAAAGAAATACGTCCAACCCTTGTCCCTGCTGTGGCCATCATAAACAGGTAATTCTTCTAATAGTGACTATCCCATTGCCTTTCTTATCCAAACTTCCTGTTTATTCATGTTACTTTTAAGCTTTTCTTAATCCCTATTTACACTACCATATTTTCATATCCGAACTTCCTGTCTATTTTGTCACTTTATTATTTTTACATATTTAATCCCCCTGATTGCATAAACAATTATTCGTCACATTAGTTATGATCCTACTAGATTTTTTATCCCAACATCCTGTCTATTTTGTTATTTCTATATTTCTAACCCCCTAATTGCGCAATATGTCAATCTTCTCAATAATTGTGATGCTACTTTGTTTGAGTTTTATCCATCCACCCTGTTTATTATGGCACTTTAATTCCTAATTGTAATTTTATTAATTTGACCCTTGACTGTAAATTATTCTGGAACTTTCCCACCCATTTATCATAAATACACGAATGTATAGCCTAGTTGATGACTTCGTCGAAGAGAAACAGCCAGTTATATTGACCGTCACTCTAGGAACTTAATTTTTCCTACTCGGAAACACTTACCAATGTGGCTAAGTAAAGCTGCAGTTAAAACCATCAACAGTTCTATAGTAGATCACATCATCCAAACAGACCACAAAGCTAGCCACATTGAAGAGTCATTCTCTATTATACATCGGGTATAGAATATATTACCAAAAGCCTCTAATTACTGAACACTGCAAACAACATAGGCCATTGTAATTCGCTTAAATCAACCTGAGCTCTGTATGTAATGCAAAAGAAACAGCTCCAGCGATTATGGCTACCCTGGTCTACTGTCGAGCCGATAAATTCATAAATTCTTTGTTAATTCTCTCCCCCCCCCCCCCAATTTATTTTATATTCAGCCAGTTTAGTGTTATATTATTAATGCATATTACCTCTTACTAATGCCTCTTAACTGTAATCTGTCGATATTATTGATTCAATGTAATTTAAAACAGCATTCATGTTGTTAATAAGAATATTTTCTATTTAATTATTACTGTCATATAAATGTAGAATACTGATGACGAATTTATAAGAAAGCATATTCTTTGTTCATTGATCAGTCTTTTAAATTCTTTATGGGTATCTTAATTAAATCAATTAAAATTGACTTCAATACGCTTAATATTGATACACAAAACTTTATAGTGAATGAATAATGAAAGAGTGACTTATTTAACCTAGTTTTTAGGGTTGTTCGGTTGATTTTTTTTTCCCTACAATTTCTACTGTCTTAAGACAATTAGCATTCTCTTTGTTGAACACAATTATAGCTTAACTACATTACATATACACACTTAAAGGAACTCTACCTAGCTAAGTCACCATAATCATCCAATGACCAGCCCGAAAGCTACTCATCTATCCCCCCCCCATAATACACACTTCTTCTCCGGACATAAAAAGATAACTTCTTACTCACCTTTCTGAGCAAACAAAATCGATTATTTCAATTTTCAATGGTTTAAACCCCTTAGTTTGTCGTAATTCATTCAACTTTTCACAATTCTAAAATGATAAAGAAATAGAGAAAAAATTATCAGACAAGTTAGGGTAAAATTAAGCAACTAACATCATATGTACTCGTCTATACAAAGACTTCTAAATGTAAGTTTTCTGACATATTCTTCGAGGTAGCCTTTTTTAAACTCTATACGAAGTTTGTGAGTCGGTGGCATAGCTGTTAGCACGCTCGCCGTCCATGCACATGGTTCCGGGGTTCGATCCCCGGCCGACGTACTCCTTTACCTTGCCAGAAATAAAGCTGATAAAGAGGAAAGGTTAGGCATGAGGCTAGTAACTCCATCCTGTAAATATAAACACTGCTACAGAAACTTCACGCCTGTAGCTTGAAGCCCAATGTTCCACTGGGAACGTGAAGGAATAAAAAAAAATCTACATCTAGTTTCGAAACGAATTAGTCAACCACTGGCGACAGACTAGCTTTCATCCAAAAACATCTATTCTTCCTACATGATGTTAAGCAAGTAGTCAAGTCAGACGACAACCCAATTTGAGCGTCGACATTTTACGCTACTAGTGTTTTTTCTCTCTCGCTATCTCCAAAATGAAATATATCGTTATTCCGTTAATAGTTAAGCCTAGTTCAGTAATGCAGAACTTTGTCAGATGTGTACATCCCATTCACATGTTAAGGATGAGTTGTGAAAATCTTTATTTTGTGAATATAAACTTGTTATAGTATAGTTATCAAGAGATGAAATAAGCTCATTGCACTCTCATATTGTTACAGACAAATCCCAGCTAAAATGTTATTCAGTAAATAATAATCCATCACTATTCTCTATCAAGAATATCCAGTATGAAGTTGAGATGTTCTCCAATCTTTTGTCCAATGGGCCAAGTTAAACTTTAGGCACCACTAACTACCAATGGGGTGCGTCCGCACCATTGACTTTGAATGATCTAATGATTTTTATTCAAGTGAGTTGAGGCTTCTGTTCCGCTTGATTCGAGTCAGTGAAGGTAAGCTGATGATTCTAATACTTCGTAGGAACATGTTTTGCCAGGGCCCATCTTTTCTTAACCCAGATTTTGTATATTTATAATTACTGGGTTTTAAAACAGCCTGCTGAAACTGAAAATAGTCTCGTATCAACAGTTCAGTGGTACCAGCAGTGCAGTGATATCGCATCCTGGAAAGTGGAGAGGTTTACTTCCTTATTGGGAAGAGAAGGCGTCGTCGTACATGTAGATGAAACTGTTTTATTAAAGACAAAAAAATACAATCGTGGTCGAGAACGAGCGAATAAGATTCGTCGAGAGGATAGCAGCTGGAAAGTCAAGTACTTTAATATCCACTATTAGTCCATCGGTGAAACAAGGACTTATAATACACTCAGATGAGTGGAAAGGTTACAACTCCTAGTCATCCCTTGGAAATATTCACCACAGAGTCAACCATTGCAATGATTTTGTGGATCCCACTACAGACACCCACACAGATCCTATTGAAGGCTTTTGGGGAAGATTAAAAAACTGGATTACAGCCATTAATGAATCGCAAAGCCATGTCCTTTAGATGAATATACATATAGGATGTGGTGTAACTTTTCCACTGATACTCCTATGTTAAACTGGGATATATTTTTATCAAATGTGAGGGAAAGGTATCCTATGTAACACTTTTATACAGTTTTATGCGTTTTTTCATAAATATACGTATTCTATACCCAAAAGTGCCTCATCCATGTGATTGGCGCGTTCAAGGTCATTTGCTGATTGGTAGTTAGTGGCGCTTAAAGTTTAACTTTACCCGTTCATCTATATCACATTCACGATGTAAATCAGCTTGTTTGCTTTAAGAATACGTGAGTTTATATTATGTGACTAGGGTTAGAAGTAATGCTGGGTAAAAAGGGATAACTAATCCATATGGTTGTGAATTTTTATCGATCAAAATGGCTGGGACATCATTCTTCTAGACGAGCTGAAGTAAAAATCAGGTTAGAAAAAAGTTAGACACGGCCAAACCAAGAGACATGTCATCTGTCCATAAAGTCATTAAGTGTTGGTCCGAGTTATCCGGGGAGATGTAGGTTGTCTGGCTTGGAACCTCAGAATGCTGAGAATCTGTGACTGAAGACTCTTCATAGTGACTTAAAACCATTTTCAATGTATTCACTCCATCGTCATCTTTCAAAATTTGAAAGATTTTACTAATCTCTGTCTAATTACTCTCTCTAGTTTGTATCTATGTTAATCTATTGTAGTCTTGTTCTATTCCTTTACTTTATTGCATGCTTTTCCAAAATATTCTTCTTTTATTCTTTTACATTCCCAGTGGAACATAGGGCTTCAAGCTAGAGGCTTGAAGTTCCGGCAGCAGTGGTGTTTACTTTACGGGATGGGGTTGCTAGCCTCACTCTCAGCCTTCCCTCTTTACCAGTCTTATTACTGACTTAGCAAGGTAGAGGAGCGCACCGGCCGGGGATCGAATCCCGAACCACCTGCTTGGTTGGCGAGCATTCTACCACATTGCCACCAACGCACTTTCCAAAATATGCCAATTCGAAATAATGCATTTTTGTGCAAATTTCTACGATGATAAATCCGTCAGATTTGAGTTATTATTTACTGGTTGTCTTTATTCTCCTTTTCATAATTAACATCACACTGGATTAGTATAAAATTCATTCTAGTTTTAGCATAGACCCCAGGCTATCTCTTTTCAGAATAGAGACTTAATATTTCAACCTTTAAGTTCACTTCACAGACAACTTTTACCACTTACTAGGGTTGATATACATGAGCTTGGAACAATGCGCTTACCGCCTGAATGATCCATAAACAGTCGTGATATTCTCTCCAAGAATGTCAAATAACGACCATGAGTAGTAATAAATTGTCATAAAAATCTCACTCAGTAAACAATACTTAGTCGCTATATTGTATTAAATGAAAGTATTTAGCATTAAATGGGTCAATGAACACGTATATCTTAAAAAGACTGTTCAAAGTCTTACAAGATAACTTAGTGCAGTTCTGTTGGAGAACGAATCGACTACTTATTTCTTTTGGAAACTTAGTTAACACGCCAAAGTCAAGTGAATGCAAACAATGAGACTATTTAGAATAGCCTACATACTATATAAACACAATAAAGATACGACAAGTGGGTCGCACTAAAATGATTACTATTAAATCGTTAACTTGGCACGTAATGACCACCAAAGGATGCGCCACACAAAATCTAATAGTTTGTGCAAGGGTTGAGATATCGCCCGGACGCCCAGACCATCCACACTCAAGCCTTTGACTTTAAGTCTGATTCACAAGGTAGTGGAGCGGCGTCAGAAGCTACGTCCCCATAGTTGCCAGTAACCAAAACGGGATCATATCCCATTCAATCCATCTGGATTCGGGAGCCTATGTACGCCATAGACTCGGAATCAAGGTTTTCCGGCTCCCACAGGTAGACACGAATGTCCGGACGTTTGCAATCACTTTTTCACACCCCAGCCACGTGAAGGTGGTAGTTGGGATTTACCTGACCAAGGCTATGAACACGTGGCTACATGAAGACATTTCGAGGGGAAGACCGACGTCTATCCACTCTCGGCTGTACTAGGGTGTCTATGGGATCACACTACTGTAGAATTTATAAGATAAAAAATTACTGCATAACTTTTAGTTAGTATACTCACACGAAGAGATTCAGAACTGGCTACTATACAATCGAACTCTGGACAATATCCTGGTGGACCGAATTCATCAGATAATTCAACAATTTTCACATTCTCCAGCTGTACTCCAATATCACTGAGGAATGCTTGAACAGCTAGTTGACGCTTTTCCCAAGAATATATGAAAGGACTAAGACATTTTCCAGAAAGTAATTTAGAACATGTTATCCCGATAAGTAGTTGTTGTTTAGCTAGTAAAGCGCCAACAGTAAGTAAAATTTTATGTCCATTATGTAGCCGGTCGAAAGTGCCACCAAGGCATACATGAGAGATATCTTGATAGGAGTCATCTAATGACTTATTATTATCATCATCATCATGATCATTTGACTTCTCATCAACTACTGTTGGGTCTAAATCGAATTTATCTGTAATAAATGAAAAATAATTGTGAATACATTAACAAGAGGCATTATATAAGATAAGTATAGTCAATAATGAACCGGAAAAAAGGCATACATCTGGAATATAGATTAAATTTAAACCTCCTAGTTAGCAAACCAATGGTATCACAGTTGTATTATGTAGGGTTAAGCTTAAAGATCCTTAAAGAACCCATAGTGATGTACACTGGGAGTAGAAGTGGTCATATTTTCTTAGTGATAATAGTAATTTGCAAACCGAAGTTATAGTATTTTAATGAAGGAATAGCTAAGGCATACAAGCATTTAACTATCTGATCATCCGTATCTATTTTGATTTGGTCAATAAGAAAAACTATGTTAGTGCTTAACATGCTAAGAAACTGAAGTTGATCACATCTTACCACCGTAAATGAGCTTACAATTCAATTGAGCTGTGATCGAGGCTTCTCACCACTCAGTTCTCATGCAACAAATTTTAGCAATACAAACGTCTTTGTCTACCGCCTCTCAATGATTAAGAGAATAATTTCTTCTGGTCAGGAGTATTGATAATAAGAAGTGATATATTGTAACGACAGAAAACAAGGGCCAGGCAACAGATCGTTTATTCAGGAAATCAAGAGGTACTTATAGATTTTTACGTACATTATCATTCGTTATTGATAGCAGAGAAGCAACGTCTTCTGATTGGTTTATTTTCTTGCTGAAGGCTTTTCTGTCATCTCTTTTTGGCTGTTTCTTAGAAAGTCAGGCCATATATCTGCGAATCGTATTTGCACACATTAAGCCTACTGTGATTTAGTTGGTGAGTTCCTCAAGGTTACGCTTTGTTATTGTTTCTTCTCATGACCAATATTTGGGACGTAAACACTGGCGTAAATTGTTGTCTACAATTTTGGCTTGCAGACATCTCTCACCACAATATGAGTACAAGCAAGTCAAGAATTAGTAGTGAAGCGATTTTTGTTGGACACAGTTATCAATATTCTACTTCTACAATTGATGAAAAACTGGACTAATTCACTCCACGGATAAAATTCAAGTCAAAAGTAAACTTTATCATGAAGAGATATCAACTGAAACAACCACTGGAAACTGAAGAGTGCTGGATAGCTGTCTTATTTTAGTTTGAGACTGGTAAGAAACAAGAATAGTTGAACCTAGTAAGAAGTTAGTGACTTACGATTACCTTCTATCCGTTTTAGTAAAGCGCCAACACCATCCGAACTCACATTTGACTCAAAAGACCTCACTGCTGGGACGAAATAGGTGTCTAATCCTTCAATGTCCACGATAGTTCTTTAGCTTATGTAGGTTCGCATATTAAGTGATAAAACATAGTGAGCAATATTGAGGTTGGGCGTAGAGAGTTAGGTAAGGAAAGAAATTCAATCGATAAAGTCATGAAGCTATATATATTGAGATGGCTAAGATAGATGCGTGTTACGCAAGGCAACCCATCACTTTCCTTGTCCACTGACATATGACTAGATTGAAAAAGAGTTAGGGGTGGTCAAACAAAATACTCGCATAAATCCATGTAAGCAGATATAGGCTGGCTGGTTGGAATTAAGAATCCATGACTTGATACGGTTGGTGATATGGTTCTAAAACGTTCTCAATAGCGCAGATGCATTCACTCTTTATAACCTCCTAGATCCATTCAATCATCATGTTTCTCCATGTAATTACTCTTTTGAATTTCTTTTCTCCCTCCCTTTCTCTCTCTCTCTGCGTGGTATTAGGAAAGGAGTGTGGCGACTTGCACTGTTGCATTTCTGTGAAAAGTTCTTTGTCCGAACACAGTCAATCAATCAGTCAGTCAGTCCATCAGTATTTCATATATTATATCTTGTTTATTCACTCACTGAACGTCCTCACTGCTTTTCCAACTGAATTCAGGCTTCTCATTCTAGACTACATCTAGACTACAAAAAAGCGTGAACACTAATTAAATAACCATCAACAACGCCTCTATCCGCTTATTAAATAATACCATTACATCAAGATTGAGAAAGTATACTCTCTAAAACCATAAATATGTGCTAAACACATCTTCCTCAATCCCAATCAGCAGAAATTTCATATGTAAAATACTATCCCACCTAAGAAAATTAGTAAAATATCTTGCCTTTAGTAGCGTATAAAATATTGTCATTATATAATGGATCAATATTGTGAACTTCTTTCAAAATCCAAGCATGACTGAATTCAGATTCTGGTGAGATCACAATATCGAATTTTACTGAAGGCTTTAAGGATGTAGTTTTGGGAGGCGGAGGAGGATGAGGTGGAGGAGCAGGAAGAAGAAGACAAATGTTTAGCGATGGACACACCTGTAAATTTTAAATCATCAAAAGAGAAATAGACGACTAACCTGATAAGCAATTGTATAACACAGTGTAGCTGTTCTTTTCCAATAGGTAAAATTTAAAGGACTTTGTGGTACAGTTAAAAATAACTTTTCATTCACCATATTCTTAGCATATTTTAATAGGGAAGACAATTTATGAGGACGGATATGAGGCGATAAAATAAGTAGGCCAGATTGGTACATATTACACAACAACAACAACAACAACTAGGAGTTTTACTGATGTGTTAACAACCTGAAAAACAATTTAAAAATAAATATATATCATACCCATTAGTAATCCTACTTATTATAGAATATAAAATCTATAGATCTATTCAGATATATGCACGTGAGAAGAAAGTCAACAAATCTGTAGACAAGCAAAACAGACATAGAAAGTGAAATGAAATGTTGTGGTACAACTTGCCAAATTACGTAAATTAAAATCTCCGCTAGAAAACAAATTTGCAGGTGAAGCTTTTCTGTCAGTTTAATTCAAGAGAAATACATACCTACTGATATTTTTAACAATTTTTAAGGATCTAAAACGAAAAACAAGTCATCATGACCGCATTTCGTTTTTAGACCATGAATACTGTCAGTTAGAGTTAATAGCAATCATGAGACTTTCGTCTGCTTCTTTACATGCTACCTTTAACCAAACCTTTTTGAGCTTATACAAATAGGTTTTATCCACAAAGTTGAAACTGAAGGTTTGGTTTATAAACTAGTGTTCTGGTGGTGCGATACAGACAATTATGTTTCAACGGAATATTATTCTCACATATTTCCACAGTTCAATACTGCATTAGCAACAAAATACCATATATCTATTTGAACATTATATTTCACGTCATTTAATGTAAACCAAAATCACGCGCTCAGTGATTGGTTTTTAAGAATATAAACTCCATACACAAAAACAGCGGTTTGATCAATTGAAAATGTACCTTGGATTCCGTGTCTTGCCTTCTGCTATAACAGTGTTACGCGAAATGATGTACAAGACACAGTCTGTCTGGATTCAACATAGAACTTGGCACCGGAGTGCAACAGTTTGAGTTGCCACGTTCCAAATAGCACAAAAAGGTAGACAAGACATCTAAATATTATCACTGATTGACTGGTTTCAACACAGAAGTTTACACAGAAGTGCAGCAGTTCATGGTGCTGTCATAATCCATGTAACACACAAAGACAAAAGAGAGAAAGAAGTAAATGGGTTCGAAGGAACGACAATAAGCAGAAATGTGAAGGAGAAAGAATAGTAACTTGGGAAAAACGATAGGGTTCAATGGATATAGCAGATCCCAAAGAGTGAATGCATCTACGACATCTATGACTACGACTTTGGGCCATATCACCAATTGTCTCCAACCATTGGTTCTTACAGTCCCGAAGACCCCATCCAGATGGTCTACACCTCCCTACGTGGCTCCAACTAACTGTCAAAGACTAAACATTATTAATATGTCACTCAGTAAATTTATTCTAAAATTCAGTGAGTTCAAAAGGTTCTCGAGGAATATTTGATTTCATGACCTGTCGATTCATAATAAAATGTATGTTTCAGATTAACCCTTAAGAATCTTTGTACAATGATTACATCTTTAACAATTGCTCTGTAAATATCAAAGTTATAAGTAGAATGCAGACTCACATAGCAAAGACTTTAATTTCTTAATACAAACTGTAAGTCGTGCTACCACACTTATTTATTCGCTTCACCGTCTTCTCATTGTCTCTAATGGTTTCCTATGACCTTTTTCATTCATTAGAATCCCCTCTTATAGCTAAATACCCTGACATCTAACTTTTAGATGTGACAGACTGAATTCTTACACAGTAATTTTAGGTTTGATGTTTGTAATACTATTCTGCATCCTCAGAAGTGAATATTAACCCTCTATTTCAATTACTTAGCACTATTTTACGCATTTTCCCTCTTCCCGGTATATTTGTGAAGAAAACAGAGCTTGACCAAGAACACACGAAAGGTTAAAGCCAATCAATCTGATTAAGCTGACACACATTAAAAGAGCTAATCAGTTTGAACTAAATTACTAGCAATACTTCTTTCATGTAGTACGCTATGTGCTATGCTTATTACATGAGAGATGACACTATTCAGTCTCCAAGCATAAAGGAGGAGCGGAAGCCGGGACACAACAGTTATGAATCAAGTGCTAACACCAGTGTCACTGCAACAGACAAACACGAATGGAAGGAAGGTGGGAATAATGAAATAGATGTTTGTGAAAAAGCTCAATTTCCAAGGTGACAAGTAGTAAATAAATTTGCACCTTTGTGAAAAGGTGGAACTATGTTACTAACAGCCTCTTACGATTTGCTTTTGGCATTTAAATAAAAAAATTTTCATAGGATTTTGAACTTTAAAATGTTACTTAGTAACATTTTTGACTTTGATTTATTAAGGCTCCCTTAGATGTCTTATTTTCCTCCCCTTCGTCTGACCCGTTGGTAGCCGAAATGCAAACCGAATTGGTATATTCTAAGACGTTTTCAATAACACTACATTCCATGAAATAACACACTCAGATCATTGGACTTTCAGCAGTATGAGACGAAGATATCTTGACTTGTCCGTTTGACCAAATGATCATACGTTCGAGAGAGGAATTGATTTTTGTACGACTTTTTAACTTGTTCATAGTAAAATACGACTTTTATTCACTCTTAGACATAAAACACGAAATAATTATCTTGCATGTGTCAGTAACCATGGATAATCCAAGGACTAGAGATTATTGGAGGTTGAAGTAAACGGTATGGCAGAAAATTGACCCACTATCAGCATAATATGAAAACCTTGGGAAAAGCCTATCATACAAAAGTTGCTAACAAATCTACACCATCCACAAGGTGGAACAAATGCTAAGACAATGAAAAATACAGCAATTACTGGTGCATGTTGTACTCATTCACATTAAAACACTAGTACTTGACTTATGCTTCTTATAAACTTGTAGTATAAGTGAGTAACCTACTGTCTTTCGCTTCAGTTTCTAAAATATTGCAATCACCATATTCTACACAACTGCAGACTTCTGAAATTCCATCAATATTTACAACACTAATCATATCTTATACAAATATAGAGCTGGTTAGCCCATAAGGTAAATAGACCTTAATGATAGCAATTAACTTCCGCTAATAACAGTCTTCAGTGGACTTAGTTTTCTTACATCATCCAAAATAGGACTAAAGTATGTGGAAATCGCAGTGCAAACATCTATAGCAATAGAAATTATTTTTTCCACGACATCTAAAAGTAACTGGCCGGCACAATAAATAGATGCAAATACAGTCTTCAATAGGATCTCCGTACAATATTTTAGAAAGAATGTTGTTTAGATATCAAGATCTAGATATATCAGGAGATGACATCTCTGTAGCTCTATTTTCCGCGCGACAGAATTAAGTGCCATTGTTACCTTTCTGTAGAAATCCAAACTTCCAATATTCTGTCAATGGCACTACTTAGAATACCTGACTTAATTCTGTACTGACGGTCTAACGACAAAAATCGCTTTTAAAAATATGGGTTTCCTGGTAACACCATGGGAGACTGAATACATGTTGATGAAAAACGTTCCTAAACTAACTTCAGTTTAGGGCCTATTAATTTAAAGAACCTATCTTAAACTGGAAACAAAACACAGTAACCACCGATAAGTTTTGTTCGGTAAACCTGTTTGTACAAAGGACCCCAAGAAGCAAATACTACACAGTATATCAACAGTTTCTGAAGTAGCCGATAATTCTGCTGCAAGGTAGTGGCATAACACAAGTGGAGAAATGTCATCACTTATTAACACGCCCTAATTCATACTGAAAATGGATGACCAAGACAAAACTCCTTACTAACTCTTTGTTCGTAACTATTTTACAAATATTTGAAGATAAATACAGTCGCTTCTATTCCAGAAACATTGAGGCACTTTTGAGGCTGAATAGATGACACGTTTGTAATGGATTACTATCTGAAAACAATGCACTTGAAGATCACGTGATCCTAAAGTACATTAGGAGCCAATCTAAAACTTAGGTATGACTATGAATTCACTGAATTCAAGAACACTTAAAAAGTTTCGACAACTTAACAAGAATGAGCAATACGAAGGGCGTTCTGCGTCTTTTAATATTTATTAAATAATGTTATACTTTCTTAATTGTAATTTAGCTTCATACGATGAGGTGGTACTTTAGATTTTTCTAAAACATCTTTAGCTATCTTTTGAATGTGATACGTTAATGTCCTGAATTATGTCTTCAGAAGTGCAGAACAAAGCTTTAGACTTGATAATTGCCAACGTACTTAACGTTGAGACCTTGAAGTCTGAATGGCGCGCTCGACCGTAATCAGTCAGTTTTAGGTTCAGGTTTCTGTTTTAAAATGTTAGGCTTATAGGGCTGAAATTATCCCGCATGCTCAAGGTCACTGATGGAGTGAGACGCTCAAAGGTCATTTTCGTCCATGTTAGTCGGTTATGTTGGATTGCAGTTCCATAGCCGTTCGTTTACACATTGGTTTTACGTTCTTTTGGCATTTATAGGTGATTCCCATGTACTGATAGCATTCTTTTGTAAAATAGTTCTGTTCTTCACACGAAAATAGCCACATTTTGACGTAGTCTTCATTGAATGACACTATGTCGAAAGCTGCAGCTTCTATAAGAAATAAACTATTTGCGTAGATGACATTACCCACCAACTACCCCATCTTCTTCATTGTAGAGATGTTTTGACGCATTCAGCATGAAACACTAATCATTACAACCAATATGCTAAGTGTGTCGCAGTCAGATTAAATGACGCAGACACCAACATAACTAGCCAGGAAATGAGAATTCCTTTCAATCCAGAAAATATAGAACAAAATTTTATTAAAAACTATTGACAAAACAAATTTGCCGAGCGAAATTTCAACCAACATGCCGGATAAGTCCAGCCGGCTTATAGTCCATTTTAATCTTTCTTCAAAACGTATCTGTGTTTGTATTTCCCCCCCTCGAATGGGTCGATTGAATGAGCAGACATCACCTCTGATAGCTGGTTCCAAAAGTTAATGAATAGATGGGAGAACGAATGTTACGTAGCGAAATAGTCTAGTGTCTCTATTTCATATAATCACCCGATATAATCCTCCTTGGCTCATGAAATATCTTCGTATATTCCTTGAGAAATTCCGATCCGATTTAAAGGAAAATATACGACTCATCAGGTCCATTGTTATTATTTACAATTTAAACATCGTGATATTATTTCTGTTCTGTAAGCAGTATAGCAAGGAGAAGAGATTCATATGGTTTAGTCGTTCTCCGCATGTTAAATTGGTAAACAGTGATCTGCATTTTTAGTTGTGACGGACTTGTAATTTCTGTGCTACTGGAAATAATAGATAACCCATACTGCGGAAGTGTTATGTTACATAAGTTCGGGTTTCGTATGCAGCCTAGATTTTGAAGAGAGGAGTCATTCAGATGCCATATATAGAGTATGGCTCTGAGCCTATTTGCATTAAGTGGCAGTTGTCAAGCATTTACATAAACTATTCGGGTTATCTTTCATTTGCATGAATCCTTCTTCCATAATTACATCCGACAAGTTGTAAACAATGTGTAAGTTTTGCTGAACTCAAGCTGATATGTGGTAAATGTTTCAAGCACTGATTTTTTATATCTGCTATGAATTTGTTTGGGTACTCGAAGGGTTATGGCAATGACTCAACTAGTCACTATGTCCAAAACATCAGATAGCCCATTAAGATGGTTTACGTGCTGTGACCAGTCTATGGTCCCTAGAGTGACCACACATTTTCAATGTCAATTTTGAAGGGAAGTAGCTGCCAGATTAAATCACGTATATTGAAATCTCCACACATAATATTGACCACGTAAGGTAATAGATCAGCATAGGCAAATATATTAGCCAGCTTCGTAATGCTTTCAGTAGGTGAGCGAGGGGGTAACATATGCAATCTTTCAGATCATAATTGGTACAAGTGATCATTGTAGCCTATACTAATTCGTAAATTTTGATTGGTTGGGTTTAAAAGCATTGTGTGGTATTAATATCACACCAGATATAAGTAAAAGAACATTCTTCTCTCCTCTGAATTGGTGAGAATTACAAATAGATATATCCACACCACAAGTTCGGAGACAATCGTGCTTCGGTAATCATTACGAGGGACATGGATGGTCTTGTAGGAAGCACATCATCTTGAGTATGTGGCAAATGCTGATAGTACGAAACAAGAGGATCAGATTCTGTTGAAATTTAGCCAAGATAGGGTTGTTTTGGAACAGTGCTGTGAAGATTGGTAGGTGTTTAGTACAGTCATAGAGTAGCCACAGAAGAGCACCTGTGGAGTTTCCCCAGTAGAGATTTTGCAGGAATTGGAAGACACGGTGAGTCGTGTCTCTTGTTACGGTGATTCTGTTTATTCCAAGAAATCCTGTTTGTTTCAGAAACATTGATGCTTGAGTAAGACCTGCAAATCTTAATGGTATCTGTTTTATGCTGGTAGACAGCAATTATAAATGGGTTCCCTTATATGCACCCTAAAATTTGGAGGTAAATGATCACTCCTTCATGAATCTCGGTATAACCAAAGAAAATAACTACAAGTTAGGCGATACCAGCTTTAATATTCAAAACATTGCTTCAGAGATAAGACGTTAAAAGTTAACGGTAGTCGTGGGACAGATAACACACGACCTTACATATAGAAAAAGAGTAGCATAGATATAACAGTCTTGTAACTTAGATTATTTGCCCTCTCATTAGAGACTGAGACCTACCCTGAAATATGGAAGAACGCATACATATTGCCTAAGCGTAAGGCAGGAGTGCAAACTAGGGCATACAACGAAAGGCCTATCAGTATAACATCGGTTATATTATGAAGAAAGCAAGACCGAATGCCAGACTTCTTATTAGAACATTAACTAACCAACGCATCAAGGCGCGGGCTCCTCAAAAGGCGATCATGTACCCCATGCCATCTAGGCTTTTCCGATGAATTCACCTGTAGGAGAGAAAGGAGAGAACTAGTAACTATCCTATATTTTGGTGTAATAAAAGCCTTCGATAGAGTTTTACATGGCTTGTTAGTCGGCAGGGTTTGCAGCCCCATCCAGAACTGGGTAAAAATATTTCTCATTGATCGAAACCAAGCAACTAAAGTTGGCTTGGTGACCTCCAGACCTATACCAAAATGCAGTGGTGTCATCCGGGAGTGTGCATCAGGCCCCCTTTTCTTAATAGCATATACAAATAGTATCTGTGAATGCTTTAGCATAGGTTCTTGGGATGTTCATAAAGTGACTTACAAATGCATGAACACAGATCTCTGTACATCCATAAACTCTACGCAGGAGGAGTTTATAGAAATGAATAGATGGTGTGACACCTAGAGATTTGACTTTGATGTTGAAAATGTAGTTGACTCTACATAGGCTGCTCCTGCCTTGAACCCTGCCTGGTAACTCGAGACCATACACTCCTCAGGCTTTAATATGTACCAGACCCACGACTGAAATATCTACATGACCTACCACTTTTAGAAAATATTTTCAAACAAGTATGGAAATCACACAGTATTATAGGCTATCTACTCAGGATATAAGTGTAGAACTTAGGTACTTTGGGAGAATGTTTTTTTAAGTTAGATAAGTTCATTGTAAATATCACATAGTGATGCATTAATAACAACTGGATGACGTTTCAAGCATAAATTGTTGCTCATGATCATTTAAATTTTAGTCACATGATTTCACAGTTTGTCTCATATGTTTTCTCCCCTTCTGTCTCTCTACATATGTTGCTCCTTTCCATATCTCCTGTATAGACGTTGCGTCATTCCGATCGCACGCGTTTGGTGTTGAATCGATAGACTCTAATCAGGAACTTTTCAAAAACTATAGACGCGTTTGGTTTATCTGCTTTAGACACTACGCCCGTCGTCAGTTTTGACCCGATTTTTAATTTCAAATAAAATAGGAGTAGTCAAGGGAAAAGACCTCAAAAACACATTATATAGGAAAACGATGGCATAACTTGTCAGGCTGGACTTATCCTGCATATTGGTTGAAATTTCGCTCGGTAAATTTTTTTGTCAATAACTTTCAATAAAATTGTGTTTTACGTTTTCTGGATTGATAGGAATTCTCATTTCCTGCTCACTTATGTTGGTGTCTGCGTCATGTTATCTGACTGCGACACACTCTTAGCATATTGGTTGTAATGATTAGTGTATCATGCTGAATGAGTCAAAACATCGCTAAAATGAAGAAGATGGGGTAGTTGGAGGGTAATGTCATCTGCACACATAGTTTATTTCTTGTAGAAGCTGCAGCTTTCGACATAGTGTCATTCAATGGAGACCACGTCAAAATGTGACTATTTTCGTGTGAAGAACAGTACTATTTGACAAAAGAATGCTATCAGTACATGGGAATCACAATATCACACGGACATACTTGCGTTTGCTGGACACCATTTATACCTCACCAGCTGCAGTTCGCTTGTCTGAAAGTAATACAGCGATTTTTATCTGTAACGACGGGGAACCATAAATATCCACAATTCCTATCAGAACAACCCAAATTACTTAAATTTCTCAATATTGAGTATATCTTCACTGGTGGTAGAAACCCACTAATTAATGCATTTAAAGAACGCGTATATTTTCCATGATCACGCATGGCGAAATTTTGTGGAATATTGGATCGTATATGAGCGAAGTTAGACTTTCAGCACCAAAGGAGTATGGTATCACCAATGTCCCTGGAAACCCCAGTGAACAAATGAGTAAAACCAGGTAGGTGATACCTAAATCATGAATAGAATGTGCTCAATGAAACTTCATGATATCAAATGGGATATTTAGTAATTCTTAGGTTGGGGCTAAGAATTATTTAGGGTTAGATTGGAGATAGGCAGGGTTAGACTGACCTAATAAGTGAGATGTTAGAGTTGGTTCAAGTTAGTTTAGGGCCAGTTTAGGATTAGGGGCCCGTTAGGGATAGTCCACATATAGATTATGGAGTTAACCAAATCCTAACTGTGAACAGGCTGTAGTATTCATTTGAATATTCATCTATATTCTGATTATCCTGGTAGGTCACACACTGATATTAATGATGAAAATATTTACGGTAACAAATTCCACAACGCTAAACATGTCCGTAAATTAATCTGTTGGGGCTCTTTGTACTCATGATACCTCCACAAGAACAGATTCTTTTCTTTCCAATCAATACCACATCTAAGCAGTGCTGTAAAACTTGGCCTACACTAAATTTCAGGCGTGCCTCCGTTAGAGCATGCGTTTCACTCAAATTAAGCTGAGTAAAAGCCTGCAATGAAGTGAAGAAATT